CAAACTGGCAATATTTTTTATGGCAGCTTATTAAAGAATAAAGATTAAAGATTAATGCGAAGTATTTTCAATCAGTAAGGTTAGGTAATAGTCAAAAGGCTATAGCTTATAGGTATTGCAGCACGCAATCAGTTATTATATTTCTTTAGTATACAGTATGCTAGAAACCACGGCTTTCAAGCAGGGCTATCACAACCGCGAGTTGATTGTACAATATTTGTTATTTAATATACTCATTTCTATATTTTGATACAAGGAAGTACAAGACAAATAACATTTATTTACTTATATATCCCGGGTGGCGCAAAAAAAGTTCAGGCGTTTGATCTATCATAGCGAAAAAACTATAAGAGCTATACGTCGCTCAAATAATTGTAGCTGTATTCATAAAAGGCTAACTTAAATTTTGATAGGTTATACATGAGATATCACGAAATATTGACTGAGATACAAGTGTTTAAATTAAACTTGCGTACGCATTTTCAAAAGAATTGAAAATTAGTCTAAAATGGCCCATTTAACTAAATTTGATATCATTCTGATTAGACATTACTACGCTGGGCATCGCCAGATTATTTCCCGGGCGAGCTAGTGATGAGTAAACGCGGAGATGAGCCGTACCCCTGGCTTTCAGATTTGACAGGCTAGTACCTATAGAGTATAGTTGAAATATCAAATTTGGAGTATGCCACATCGACAGCGCTAGGTTTTGGAATAATATCTAGATACTTTTAGTGAAAACTCTTGTGTCAGAAAGATGTCTCATCTTTTGCTGACAGGTTATGAAGATGTCCCATCTTTTCTTAACCGGTGGAAGCTTAAAAGGAGTCTTATATTATTCTTTACCTCACAACGCAGGCGCGGGCGTAGATTCCGTAGATTATACGGCTAAGACAATGGTGTCAATGCAGCTATTGTTTTTGGAATAATATATACATTAGCTATATACGTTGGTGAAAACGTTTGTAACAGATTCATGAGCGCACTAGGGCCTATAGGGAAAGGCGGTATAATTATATAACTTTATAAGTCAGTTTCTTTATTATTTAGCCATAGAAAACTTAATTACGCCTTTGAAGCCGAACTTTTTATACTGCCAAGATCTAAAACGGCAAATATGTTCCGAGGTCTTGACATGGAATTATCATGCTATTCTCTAAGATACCAAGAACGTTTTGTCTTACAACACACAAGTCTTAATATTACATATTATACGCAGCCTTATTACACATTGTACGCTGTATAGTATAGCCTGGCCCTAGGTGACTTGTCAACAGTCAGCATTGTGACATATTTGTATACTTTTATTTTAATGCATAACAGAAAATTAACTTATTACTTGCTTGGTTTCACACTGCGTTTAAGCAACTGAACCTGGATTGATGACATCTTATAGCGGTAATTAATAATGCGATTAGCGTTGCCCACTTCCTGAAGTTGCAAACTCAGTTTGCAGATCCCGCTGTTTTTCAAAACGTGCGGGTCGTCATGATGAGCTTGCAAAACCTATGACGTCACTTTGTTCAGCTAACACTCTGGCGTAATTTATGAGCTTGCAAAATCTATGACGTCACTTTGTTCAGCTAGCACTCTGGTGGAATTTATAATGAGCTTGCGAAATCTATGGCATCATTTTGCTGGGTAAGCCTGGGCCAAATGTGACAGGTAATGCAATCAATTAACATCATAATACAGTAACACGATCAATTAGTGGCACAACACACTAACGAGATAAGTTTACACCACAGTACAGTAACGAGACCAATTAGCGGTACAACACAGTAACAAGCCAAATTAGCATCACAACACGGTAACACAATCAAACGTAAGTTATAAATATTGTGTTCCAAACACACATTTAATTTTGAACATTGTGTTTGCAAGTGTTCTGTGGTTTTCTCTGGTTTCTAGTGTTGTCTAATTCTCAAGTGTTCTCTGCTTTTGTATTGCGTTGGATTGTTTTAAAATGGCTCATTCGGTAAGTTTATGTATTTGTTTTGAATATATGTTTACGATATTTTTTATTTTCAGACTAATAGACTGGATTAAGTTGTTTTTGAATATGTGTTTACAATAGTTTTAGATTAATATGTTTATGATATTTCTAGATTAACATGCTGGATTTGATCCAGGCTTGTGGGGCCGAAAGTGAGCTTGACTCTCTCCAGGAGTCGTTTGTTCTGACTGAAGAGCAGAAGAAAGCTGTTCTTCAGCAACACATTATATTCTGGACGAATGTTATGGCTGAAGATATTGCACAGGAGAATCCAGTTGGTGTTGTTCATGGCTTCATGGATAATTGGACTGAGGATCAATGCTCTCAATTTATTGCGGACTGGGAAAACAAAGAAGGATTGCGCGAGCTCGAACAGTTGCCTGAACCGTCGGATAACCAAATGGGTGAAGGGAGCAAGCAAAAGTACGCCAGTGACGACGTCCCTTCAAAACGCCAAAGACCAGGGAGTATTTCACTATTAAATCGGCCAAGCAAGTTAATGTGAGGAAATTAAGGACGACAGGTACAAATTAAACTGTTTTTTATATTTTAAGCGTGTATTGATGTCACTTGCTATCATGATTGTTTTATTATAAGAAACGTGTTTAGGATGGCTACGTGTTTCAAAGGATGGCTATTCAACGCATTATTTGCAAGCTTTTTATAAATGGTCATAACTCTCAAATGAAGCTTTAGTGTTCACAGGGCTTATTAATTTTGACGCTTGGAATTATAGCTACATTTTTAAAGTATACTTGAGTAGCACTATACTCCATTATAGCGTTGTTTGTGCAACTGACCTCAACTTTTTTAGGTATCCTTTTCTGGTGAATTATTCTATACTGTGTGATGTTACAATAATCTATATACTGATTATTGTATGCTCAATTAGTGATAGCTATTACAGGACATTTGATGCTATCCATCTTGTGTCTTTCTGGTCGGTATTACTTGGTTAGTACAATAGTGTATTACGGTTTTTAGGTACAGACTACACAGTCCAATTCAACCCCTTAGATAAAATTACTGACCATCCGTGTGGCAATCGGTGTCATACCCAGAACTGTTCCCTCGTTGAATGGAAATTTTGCAAAGACTGCAACCACTTCTTTAAAAGTGACAAATGTTTCAACCGCCATAAAGATGATGCAGGTCCTGCCAAATCCCTTTGCCGTGCTTTGGTGAAGTGCAAGAAATGTCAACATGTTGTTACTCGTGCCAGTCTTTGTGATCATCGTGGCAAAGTCAGATGTTCCACCTGTCAAAAGTATGTCAAGCCTGAAAACCACCAATGTTATCTTCAACTTGTAAAGATGAAGAAGACACGATCCCCTGAAGAAGGAAACAAATTCCTAGATGATGATGTGGCCATGGAAAACGACTTAAAAGACACCAAAAACCTGATGTTCTTCGACTTTGAGTGCACGCAAGACGATGGTAAACACGTCCCCAATCTCTATGTAGTCCAGAACGAAAGCGGTGACGAGAAAGTCTTTTCTGGCCTAAACCCTAAAGACGAGTTCTGTGAGTGAATGTTTCAACAGGAAAACCCCAATACGACGTTTGTCGTGCATAATTTCCAGGCTTACGACGGGTACTACTACTCCTTCATTACCCGTGGCACAAAAATCCTTTTGCTCACTGTCCCCGAAATGAACATCAAGTTTATAGACTCGCTCTGTTTCATCCCAATGAAACTCGCCGCCTTCCCAAAAACATTTGGTCTCACAGAGCTTCAGAAAGGTTACTTCCCTCCTTTCTTTAACCGTGCTGAGAACCAGGACTATGTTGGACCTCTTCCAAACTTGAAGTTCTACGATCCTGATGGCATGAACACCGATGACCACGAAAATTTTTATACATGGTACATCGACCTATCCAAGCGCCAGTACGAGTTCGACTTTCAAGCCGAAATTCTGCGGTACTGCCAGTCTGATGTGGACATTTTGCATCATTGTTGTCTCGAGTTGCGCAAACTTTTCCATCAAATCACAGATGTTGACCCCTTTGCCACTTGTCTCACCATTGCCTCTGCCTGTAACCTCGTCTTCCGTAAGACGTTCCTCCAGGAGAACACCATCACCGTCATTCCTCCTTGCGGATACAAGCCTGAAAACAAACAGTCTGTCATCGCCTTGAAGATGGTGGCCTGGGTCACTCAACACAATAATATTGCCATTCACCATGCCCGCAACCACGGAGAGCGTCAATGGCTTCAACGTTGAGACGAACACCATTTGGGAAGTTCAAGGGTGCCTGTGGCATGGATGAGACAAGTGTTATGCCAGAGATACTGTGAATCCGATCAACCATATGACAATGCAAGATCTTAGGCAACAAACCCTAGAGAAAATACAATTCCTAAAGGACAGCAGATACAATGTTGTAGAGATTTGGACGTGTGACATTGAGCGTCAACTTGCCACTGAAGCAGAGATCAAGGATTTCTTCGAAAATTTTGAAATATCTGAACCTCTGGAACCTTGTCATGCATTCTTTGGTGGCCGTACAAACGCTGTACGCCTTTACCACGACATCCAGCCAGAAGAGAAGATCCGCTACGTGGATTTCTGCAGCCTCTACCCATGGTATGTATCTTGTTAAAAACTTTTAACTCAAACGTGCTTGTCGTTAACCTTCTTATTTAGCAATTTTAGGTGTAACAAATACGGCGAGTATCCTATTGGCCATCCTGAGATTATCACCGAGAACTTTCAACCTATCAGTGAGGACTTTGTCTTGGTGAAATGTTCTGTGCTCCCTCCTCGTGCCCTATACCACCCCATCCTCCCTTACTGTACTCAGGGTAAATTGATGTTCCCACTTTGCCGTACCTGTGCCGATAACCTTCAGCAAGAACTGTGCCATCACAGCGACGCCGAGCGAACACTTTATGGGATGTGGGTGACATTGGAGCTTGAGAAAGCACTAGAGAAAGGCTACAAATTGGTGAAAATCGACGAAGTTTGGCATTTCCCCGAGCACACAGATGGACTGTTCAAAGATTATATTGATACCTTCCTCAAAATCAAGCAAGAGGTAAAGGTTTTAGCACTATCATCACATGTGTAATACTATCACCCAATAAACTTACTTTCATTTGGACGTCAACGTGAGACACTTTTGTGCGAAAATTGAACTATCCTTGCAATATTCGTTATGGTTTAGAGTTCAATATCAAACAAAAGAGCCTGCATTTAGTGTTGTGCATCCTTGCTGGTGACATAGCTACGAACGCTGGTCCCACTACTACTATAGCAAATGCACAGTTTGGTAACTTATGTAGATCACATATACAAGCTCCTGCGATTCAGCGCTCTAAAAATGAGTTTGGTCCATTGCATCGCTCTTGCTAATATGATGTCTCTTGCGCCAAAGATTGACGAACTGAGATGTTTTGATAACGATACAAAACCGGATTTAATTTCACTAATTGAAACCTGGCTTAATGACTCTGTTAGCGAGCATCATATTACCATTCCTGGTTTTAATTTATTATTAAAGAACCGTAGCTCTGGTGTGAATGGAGGTGTTGGACTATATGTTAAAAGTTCCATCCAGTTTAAGGCACTGACTGACATCTACCACCCTGAGCTTGAGGTGCTATGGACATACGTCAAACCTGTGTGACTTCCAAGAGGTATCCCTTGTATAGTATTTGGAACAGTGTATCACACCCACTATCCTCTAGTTGCCAGTGACAATGTGATGTTGGATTACCTCGTTTCATCGCTGATAACTATCGAAGGATGTTACCCTGGTTGTGGCATATTGCTTACTGGTGACTTTAATCGTTTGAACTTAAGTTGTCTCCTTACGCAATTCAAGCTAAAACAACTTGTCCATGGTCCAACGAGAGGTGAGCGGACTCTCTACCTCATTATTATGAACATGCCTCAACTGTATGAGAAGAACTCTGTTCAAAGCTTTCCACCTTTCGGGTTATCACAAACTTCACCATCTTCTGCCACCCAAGAATATCTCCGCATATAATCTGAGAAGACAGCGACCTTTTGACTGTCCGACCACACAAACAAATCGTTTTAGGAACACTTTTGTTGTTTCTATGTCAAAGGAGTAGTTTAAAAGTATATTGGTGGGGTTCTGATATGACTTCCACCACCTTTGCCGCTGCCTCACGTTAACCTTTTGCTTTTTATGCATATTTTTGTTGTTTTTTTAGTTGTGCTTACAACTTTGGTCGATTCTTATTTTAGCGGGTGGTGGTGGTGGGGTGTTATCTGAAATTGCGCAGATATCATATAATATGTAATACTATTACATTCATTAATATGTAATTGTTTTTAATTTGTTTGCAATATGTAAGTTTTGTTAATTTTATGCAATTCAGCCAATTCGGCTGCCATGTAAAATCTATTAAACAATCATCTATCTATCTTTTCCAGGCGAGTGGGTTTCCTCCAGAACGTGACACCGACGAGAAGAAGGGGCAGTATATCGTTGACTACGCTGCAAAAGAAGGTATTCAGCTGGATCCAAGACAAATTGTCAATAATCCTGGTCTGAGGGCATTGGCCAAGCTCATGTTGAATTCTTGCTGGGGTAAGTCTACACAGTTGCTAACGAAGTTCAGGAAACGAGCATATGTTAAAAACCTATCATTTCTTGTAGGGAAATTTGCGCAATGGCCCAATATGACAAAGGTCAAAATCATTTCGGATTCAGCTGAATACTTTGATCTCCTGTCCAGCGACCATCCAGCAATTAACATCACTGACGCGAACTTCATCAACGACAAGCTCATCAAATCCACTTCGAAAACGTCGACAAATTTGTAGAGGCCAACGGAAAGCGAATGTGGTCATCGCGGCATTCACCACAGCCCACGCCCGCCTCAAGCTCTATGGCATCCTGGAGCAATTAAATCGCTGCGTCTTGTATTTCAAAACAGATTCGGTGATCTATGTTTTGCGAGATGGAGAATGGGAACCGCGGACAGGTTCCTATCTTGGCAAACTAGCAGATGAGCTGGATGGAGCTCACATTACCACCTTTGTGTCAGGAGGCCCTAAAAACTATGCCTATGAGATGAACAATGACAAAACAGTGTGCAAAGTTAGAGGGATCACCCTCGACTACAAGACCCAGCAACATGTCCATTTTTACGTCATATCTGACATGGTCATGGGTGAAGGTCCCGAGAAAGTAACTGTAAACATGCTCTATAAAATAACTAGGGAGACAAAGGAGAAAAGTGTAAAGACGAGGAGTGAAGACGAGGAGTGAAGACGAGGAGTGAAGACGAGGAGTGAAAACAAGGACTATCATATTGTATATAATAAACATGTGATTGTAAATAATTTCGATACATTGCCTTATGGTTTTTAAATTTGTTAATAAATTATTTCAAACATAAACGTTATGTGTGTAATGTTACAGCTGCATAGTTAAGGGGACTTTTGGGGACTAATTTTTTGCCTAGAGGGACATTTGGTTATATTAGGGACTATTGTCGGTAATTATGTCCCCATGGGGAAATCCTGCTATATCGGGGACAACCAGGGAAAAACTTAGTCGCCAAAGGGACAGTTTAAGTGAGTTTGGAAACTTCCATTTGATACATTGCCTTACGGTTTTTAAACATGTTAAACGGTCTAAGACAGTAGGTTCAACTTGTCATGTGCGTATATACATTTTTGGCAAGAAAAATTTTGAGTAAAACCGCATTAAAACTAAGTAGAATACTCTACAATGAATACTATATCGGTTTCTATAAACTTTGTCTCGAAACGAGCTCTCATTTCAGAGATACATTATCTCAGTTTAAAATCAGTGTATTGAATTATGCCGTTACTTGGCGCGTGCAAATTCTGAACCTTCATGACAGGGATTTGAAAAGCTTCTAAAATACACTTTATTGCTTCATATATCCCCATAAAATTTTTAAATCAATAAAGCACATCATAAAACTAATGTACGCTCATTTTCTAAGAAGTACTCATCGATTACCTGAAGGAAAAGTTTAAAATAGGTCAGGAGAGTAGTTTACAAAATGCCGTTCTCCTCTGAAATGGCTTCTTTTGCGGGAAGCCATTAAATTTATGTACTTTCCAAAATTGTAATTTAGTCGCTTTTTTGGTCTCATTGTTCACTTATTTATCATGGAATTACTTCGCTTGAGCTCTTTTAATAATATCTGCAAGATACTTTGCTATTTGGTGAAATAAAAGCTATATTTTTAGCAGTTTATCTTTTGAAAACTGCATGCGCAACAAAGTGTCACCAATGTGTTTACTCTCGTCTGACAAACAACCAAAGATGAAATACTTTATTTCACTCTTTTATAGCAATCTAAAATGCCCAAATATTAGATTATTCATTTTATTTGAGCATACATATTATATTTTTATACAATTGGTCCTTGAAAAGGACTTATTTCAAGCTAGAGTCGGATTTCAAACTAGAGTCGGATTTCAAACTAGAGTCAGATTTCAAGAGAAACCGCCTGTCTGACTTTTACAGCAACCTACATTGGCGTACATAACGTTTTAGCTACAAATCCGTTGTTTTCTCAACAGAAACAAAAGGAATTTCAGTTAAAATTCTTACCCGATGAATATTCAAAAGTGTTTATCTCTTTTTGACGACTTTCAGTGCTCTTAATAGCGAAACAAAAAGCCTTTTGTTTTGTCACCGCACGCTGCGTTTGAAAATGCCGGCTGTCAAAGTCAGAATTGAAAACACCTTGAGTATTTTAAAATTTTCTCACCTTTTTCATCCTTTGTTTATATTTTAATTAGTAATTTTTGTACTTCGTGTTTTTCCAAACATATTTGAGCTATTTAAAAACGTCAAAGAGGTACAAACACTGTGTTTTTGGGTTACAGAGTTTTTGGACTTGAACAACAAGTTCTGAAGTTCAAGTTCTCCATTGTATAAAACTAGATGTCCTGAGTGTGCCTGAGCTATGTCCAAGCAAATTTTTATAGTGTTTCATTATTTTGTAATTTATACCCTACAAGATGAAAACTAATTTGAAAATAAATGTGTACCAATCCAGGAGTCAAAAAATATTTCTCCATTTATGTTGGGTTATTCCCTTCAGATGTTGGGTATGTGTCATGAAGAAACTAAATGCCAGAGACTTAAATTTACACAAACCAAGAATTCTCACCCAAAAATCTAATGATATATTTAAGTGTAGGAGCTCATTTAAAATAGAATTGATTAATCATTTATTATTTTAACCCACTGCAAAATTTCAAGGTTTTTTATAACATTGATCTTGAGATATGGGTATTTTTGTAAAAGCAGTTGACAGAAGTTGACAGTAACTAAAATTCACCATTTTCCTTGCAACTTGGGGAGTGCCAATGTTGCAACAGTCTGCAACTTAATGAGTTAAATCTTTGTTTTCTTTGTTCGTTTTTGTTGTACAAATATGGCTCAAACTATCTCAACCTCAAAAAAGGAATTGGAGGCTATTTTTGATGCTAAATTTAATTCAATCAGCAACACAGTTGTTGAGATGAATGACTTGATGAAATTTTTTAATACAAGCTTTGAAGAAGTAAAGATTAAAGTCAGTAACCTCGAGAATAAAATCGATGAGGTCACCAAAGAAAACGATTTCCTAAAGCAAGAATCATTAAAGCTTTCAAAGGAGAATGCAAAGCTAGTGAATGTGACAAACATTTTATCGAAAGAGATAAATGATATTCAGCAATATCAGCAACGAGACTGTTGTGAAATAACAGGTCTGCTGGTTTTACCTGGGGAAAATACTAACGAATTAGTTAAAAAAGTCGGTTCACTGATGGATTTGGAATTAACTGATGAGGACATATCAGTGTCTCATCGATTGCCAAAAAATGAGGCTTCTTATAGTTCACGGTTGAGTGATGGCAGTCGGAAAAAGCTTGCAGGGAAAACTACTAAAGCATTAATCTTGGCAGAATATTGAACAATAATTATCTCCGAAAGTTTGACAGCAAAGAATAGGGTGTTGTTCAAAGAGTGTTTGAAATTCAGATGTGATTATCAATTTATGTATATCTGGACTAATCAAGGACGGGTTTACCTGAGACGAGATAAAGATTCTCCATCTAAGATTATCTATTGTCAAGCTGATCTGGAAGAACTCAAGAGATAAGTATAGTTGACAACAGTATTGATTCAGCCACTAATGGGCATTTCACCTTTTAGGACTTAGGGCCGCAATGCATGCTGGCAGTGTTAGCCAGTAACGAAGTAAATTTACTTCGTTACTTTACTTAAGTAAAAAAAATCAGTATTTACTCGTAACGAAGTATTTTTTTAATGAAGTACTTTTTACTTGTAACGAAGTACGATTTTTGGTAAATATTTACTTTTTTACTTCGTTACTTTTGTTATATTTTGGCGAAGTAAAAAAGTATTTCTCAAAGCGGTGAGTGGACTGGAATATATATATATGAAGGTATTTAAAGAATAAAGTTGTTTTACCACGTTACTTACACGTCTGAGTGTTCTATTCCTGCTTAAACCTTTGCGAATTTATATTCTATTTCAGTAGTACTTTTACTTAAGTATATTTTCCCAATACTTTTCTTTTACTTAAGTAAAATTTTCAGGCAGTACTTTTACTTAAGTAAAATTTTCAGGCAATATTTTTACTTTTACTTAAGTAAAATTTTCAAGCAGTATTTTTACTTCTACTTAAGTAAAAATTGAGGTGTTACTTTTCACTTTTACTTAAGTAAATATTTTGAGTACTTTGCTGAACACTGCATGCTGGTAGTTGGGTATGTGTTTGCTTCGAAGTGAAATGGCGGCCGTGAGGTGTCCATTTTGCTTGGAAGATGAATTTACTGGTTTTAACGACGTTTTCTTTCGCGAGATGAAAACTTAATCATGCTTTTAGGACAGGGCACTCTCTCTGTCTACATTTTGTAGAAACGGTGAGGAAATCGGAGTTGCCGTTGTGAAGAAAAACGAATTTAAAGCGGCCGAAGGGATGAGCGCTATTCGAAGAAAATATGCTTCGAATCTTGTGTTTCTTTTAGTCAAGAGGTGAGTAGCTGTATTGAATACCTGCAAGTAAAATCTTTTGCCTTGCAGCTGTAGTTTACCTGTCCTGATCGCTTATTAGTTGTATTTATAAGCGTTTCTGCATCGTCTTTTTGTTTGTTGAAATTGACACATTGCGATGAGAATTTTATCTGCTGCTCTTTAAAACATGGCCTCTGTTTTGGCGCGAAAATGTACTAGCTTCTTGCGCTAAAGTGTAGATATTTTTCAAAAACTGCATTCAGAAAGTACTGTCACTTGATATTACAGTTTACTTTGGTTTTGCATTCCTTTTGGGTCTGTTTTGGTCCCTGTCTTCGCGTAACAACTAGGTTGTAGGTTGTAAATATTAATAATAGCACTAAAATATATATATTTTTAAGAAAATAATAATTGTCTTAGTCCGTATTGTCCGTATATCGATAAAGGAGTATAAAGTTGACAATAATTTTATTGTTGAACAAAATTTAAAATTTAGTTAGCTGTTTAAATTAAAAAATTAGTTAAGCATTTAAAGCCACTTTATAGAGTCTTTATAGTAATTTCATTTTAAACCTAGTCTAATATTTCTGGCTCAAATTTTTAGTTAATAAATTTGTAAATAAGTGAAATAGTATAATTGTATATAAATTTTTAAATAAAATAAACTAGAGAGTATAAAATGGAAGACATACCTTGCTCGTCAAAGGATGCAGACCAAGCAACACAGTATTCTCATGCAGAAAAGAGAACACAACATGGTAAACAGTTATATGGAGGAAAAAACTGCTGCGTCCCCCAGTGCACCAATAGCAATTTAAGAAACCCCGAACTGTCATTTTACAAGATACCGAAAGACTCTACACTGAAGAAGAAATGGGAGAAACTTTTGCAAACAAAAGGTCTTCTTAATATCGGCCCACATTATAGAGTTTGTTCTGTTCACTTCTCTGGGGGAAAGAAAACATACACAACCAATGTACCCACAATATTTGTTCCTAAAATCACTCACACACCAAGAAAGAAGCCAAACAGACAGCAGATTGTTTTGGAGGTTACCACATCAAACATGGAGGTTATCACATTAGACATGGAAGTTACCACATCAAACATGGAGGTTACCACATCAGACATGGAAGTGAACACAGTCCCTGGAACAATAATATATGACAATGAGCCGACAGAGACCCAGTGGAAGATACTGATGCTGCCAAACTTGAAGCTCTTCAATCAAAATACAATTCTCTGGAAAAGAAATATGAAGATGATGTGAAAGCAGCAGGAAAATGTTTATTTCGATTGGAAAGATTTATTGGTAGTGCAAGTGACTTTAGGTTTTATACTGGATTCCCTGATTACGCTACATTTAAAGTGTTCTTCAATTACCTCTCACCAGCATGTAATAATCTTATCTACTATGGATCTACAACAGGTGTTATAAGCTCAGCAAACCAGAAGAAGCATGGTAGACAAAGGTCAACATCTCCAGAGCAAGAATTATTTATGGTGCTAGAATGCGCTGTAGCTTCCTCTTGCAAGATTTGGCACACCGATATGGCATGTCATTTCAGCATTGCTCACAAATTTGGATAACATGGATAACCTTTCTTGACAAGCAACTCCGTACTCGTCCCATTTGGCCCACCCGACAGTTCATTGATGACCATATGCCAGCTTGTTTTAAGCAAAGTCTCCACAAACGAGGGTGATCATTGACTGCACTGAGCTTTTAATCGAGATGCCAAATCTTCCTGCCGGAGTCAGTCAGCAACATTTTCTACCTGCAAAAACCATAACACAGCCAAAGGGTTGTTTGGTATCTCACCAAATGGATACCCAAGTTTTGTATCACCATTGTATGCTGGTAGAGCAAGTGATAAGAAAATAACAAAAGATTGTGGCATTTTAGGTTTTCTTGAGGCTGGAGATCAGGTTATGGCAGACCGTGGCTTTGACATTAAGAGTGAACTTCCTGCTGGGGTATCTTTAAATATCCTTCCATTTTTAAATGGAAAAGATCAACTAACCCTTGGCGAGGAAACTACAACAAGAAAGATAGCATCAGTTCAGGTCCATGTAGAGAGAGCTATTTCTAGGATTAAAAACTATCGCATTTTACACCAAGTGCTGCCAATAACTATGGCACAGGATGTAGACAAGATATGGACAGTGTGTTCATATCTAACACTATTTTTACCTCCATTAATAAATGAATAATATTCCATAATTACTTTATTAGTGTTAATATAGCTAAGTAAATATTGTGTGTTGTCCCAGTGTTAGGCCTTTTTAAAATGCTAAAACTCAAAGAGCATTTAACCAATTTTGATAAAATATTCGAGATTGCTCACAACGGTATTCTGAAAAAAATAATGAGAGCTGTTTTTCATACAATAAGTTGTGAATAGGATATTTGGGAAATAAGCATTTAGGATGGTAGCCTAACAAGAAGGGTTGAATAAAAAAATTGAGTCATTAATATTTTCCTTACCACATATTGCACATGTATGCCAAGTTTCATGGTTGCATCTCTAATTGCTTTTGAATTTTAGCATTTTTTACGTATATTAGAATATTGAAGTTATCGGTCTTTAGGATATGGTTAACCCCCCCCCCTGAAGATATGTGTAATTGGTAAAATAATGTTTTTGTACTGTTTAAAGTACCATTCTTGAAGGAATATTAGCATTTAGCCACCTGTGGACATGTTTTTTTTTTGCTAAAATTAAGCCAAATCGGCCAGAATAGCTATAATTAAGGGTAGAGAGTCCCCTTAATTGAATTCAAGACTCACAGTCACACACACACAACTTTTATGTGCATGACTGGTTTAAGGTTACATAAATTATTAACACTTTAATAAATCATTTCATTATGTAACTATTCAGCAGACATTTGCATATTGATATAATTATTATGTACTGTCAATTATATACCAAATTAATCATCAAAATCTTTTAACATTAATTAAACAATTATAACTGTTTCAACAATTCAACTACTCCTTAATTTTTGGTA